CCCTCTGCTCGGATCAGCAGCTCCGCCTGAGAGAGAAAGAGACAGCAAAAGAAAACGTGTTAAAAACAGTAAAGTAGGCAGCTTTTGTTTGCAGTATAAAAGTTACCAGCGAGATTTAAGGGTAAGCCTTTAAATTGAGGCAGTTTCTTCCAATGATTATTTTTGACCCATGTCCCCTTCTCTTTTCAACATAGCAGTACATTTAACATGTGCAACTAGGCCTGTCGCAATAATCAATAAATTAACTTATCGTACGATAAATAAAAATGGACTCCATAACTTTTCTGAGCTCGATAAATTGCCGTTTACATGCGTGTTTGTGTACATAAGGATGTGACCAGCATTTTAGCCAGGAGCGCTGTGGCTGCCAGCCCGGTGCGCTGTGAGGGGCGGGGCTCACACACAGCCAGGTCAGGACACTCCGCGTGCAGCAGCCAAATGAACAATATAGAGACAAGCAGGAGACAACGTGTGGACTTACTCGAGGGGAATTTGAAGTTAAATGGATTTTAAATGGAAACTCCATCTCCGGTGTGGGAATATTTTGGATTTAAGCCAAATCAACGAGGCGAACCTACGGACTTGAATGAGCCGGGCGGTGTGTCGCATTTGTTTAAAAAAGGTAGCAATAAATGTAGCAATACGAGAGCCTACGACCAACCTCAAACTGCACCTGAAACACAACCACCCCATTCCGTTTTCCCAGCTGGGAGCAAACACGGCAGCTGGAGATGGAGAGCCCCCACCTTCCCTACAGTTTGCAATCAAAGATGCATTTGCCCAACAATGCAAACATGTTGGTGTTCCTTGCTCGAAATCTTTGAAATACAGATTTGGATATGGCCTGTTGAGGCATCTGGGTCTTTGTATAGACAGTGGACTGTACACTTGACTGTTGTTTTAAGGAGGTTTTTTTTGCTTGTGAGACAATGTGTGCTCATATTTATTTATATATATGAGAGAGAGAGAGTTCTGTTTTCCAGCCTGAGTCTATTTAATTGATTGTTTTGGTTGTGTGTGATTTTAATTAATTTGTTATAATTAAATGTATTTATTTTATTTATTATATATAATTTATATATTTGAATATTATTTCACATTTCATTTGCAAAGTTGAAAGTTCAATACAAAGTTCTGTTTGAAAGGATGTACTTGAAGTATTATTATTATATATTATCATTATGTCAGTGGTCTAAAATGGTCTTACAACGGTGCCGACAATATTATCGTTTATCGCAATAATTTGAACATTTATCGTCCAACAAAATGAATGATCGTGACAGGCCTACGTGCAACCACATTTCCTGGAATACAATTATCAATCAATGTGTCCTTTTTCAAATGAAAGCCAGAAGAAAGTTGTGAAACATTCGTGTACCTTCATGTTGTTGTTCTCCTGGTGCACACTCTGCAGGTCCTGCTGGAGCTTCTGAAGCTCGACGAAGCGGTTGTCTGCCAGCTCCGTGTTCTCCTCCATATCACTGTTCATTTCTTCAAACTTCACAGGAGAGATGGGGGACATGTCAGCAAGTATGAACAGCAAGGCATGGAAAGAAAAAGTACAGGATAAAGGTCTTCACACTTCTCTCATCAAAATATACAATTCATACCTTTCTCTTGTTAATAGTGATGGTCCCACAAACGCTGCTGGCCTCCCCACACACCTTATAGCCTTTGCTGTTCACCTGGGACGCATTACAGGAAGTGTTATAAAGAATTTAGTATAATATAAAGACTTGCACGATGGTGTCAAGGACAACTTCCTCAGACACACATGCAGCGAGAGAGAGATCACATCCTCACCCTCTCCAGTATCTCAGTCAGGTGAGCGTTCAGTCTGTTCTCGCGGCGGCGGATCTTCTCCATGTCCCACTGCAGCTCCTCGATCAGGACCTGCAGCTCGCTGACACGCTGGTCCGCTTTGTTAGCCGCACGACCCAGAGGACGAGTCTGGACAGGAACACAGACACATGCCATCCATTAGAAACATAAGATAGTACTGTGCAGCGTTTCCGCCAGGGGGCCGTCTTGCTGTCATTTGACGCCCTTATTCAGCTCGGGACGCCCTGAACTCGAGACGAGGGCGTCCAAAAATATTAATAATTCGAGAGAAGATCGAGAGTTTTTATCGCTTGAAATAACGAAAAGGAAAAAGCACAAGGACATCCCTCTGTTGGAAGGGCAAAGGAGTCTGGGGGGATTCTTTTCGGAGTATTGAAGATCGTTTCCCCGACATCGGCGGTGCCTGCTACAGGACAACACAGAACGTGCTCGATTTGGACGGGATGAGCGGTGCTAGTGGAGCACGCGCGTGAGCTGCGAGCACCAGGGCCACGCAGCGGCGAAACTGAGGCTCCGTGGTAAACTGTGGTAACATGAAGAGCCGTTTGGGAGCCGAAACAGCCGGCGCTTTAATGGCGCGTTTCCACTGCAGCTCGCTTTAAGCGTGCCGAGCCGTGCGGGGCCCGTTTTTGTTTGCGTTTCCACTTGGCCTAGTTTTGGCCGGGGCTACTTTTTCACCTTTTTTCTGGCCCGACTAAATCGTGGTTCTAGGGCCAGAAACAACCAGGCTGAGTCGGGCTGAGTATGCTAAACTAGAGAGAGAATCGCTGGCAAGGGGGCTACAACTACAACAAGATGAACATATTTGACCGTGATTTAATTGTAATACACGTTTCAAAATGATGCCGAAGTAACAACATACTGATACCGGTTAGTAAAAACCATGAATTAATGCTTTGACAAGTCTGCAGACAGACGGCAGGCGAAAAACCCTTTTAAAATGCGTGTTTTCTGAATGTAGCTTGACTAAGCTAACGTTATATATGCTCCGACCGTCCACACTCACAACAACGGCCTATACAGACATAAATAAACCAGCGACTGTATTCGCCATGACACAGGCAGTCTGTGGTTTGTACTTGTTTAACTTTTGTCTAGTTTCTGAACAGATATGAGGAGCTGTGAGCTCTGAGTGCTAAGAGCTAACGGCTGTGTTGTTTTTCTGGGGCTCTCATTGAAGATGACGTCACGGCTCCGCCTACACTGCATTACTATAGTAACTGCCCCAGTTCCTAAACTGTAATGGAAACGCAGCATTAACATGAGCCGGGCCTAATAAGGCCTAACCAAACCGAGCGAGGCCTGCAGTGGAAACGCGCCATAAGAGAGCCGAGCCAAATGATCCGGCTCACTAACGTAAAAAGACAGTATCTATAAAGGACGGCTCAAGTCAAAATCTTGGGGTGGACGCCCTCTCAGCCCTGGTCTGGCGGAAACACTGGTACTGTGCAACTAAGCAGATGTTACTAAAGGATTATTATTAACAGGAAACCAAATAAGTATTTGATAATTTACTAAACACAGTGGGTGACAATATTATAATAAGTTACTGAATCTACTCTCCATGATTGATGCTTTATGATTGAGTGTGATTTATTATTCAAAGACTCAAAGTGCCTTAATTCTCTTACGAATATAATGCGTTTTGGTGGCAAACAACTTTACTATCGAGTCCAAGCGATTGTTAAGAATTATACTTCAAACACATTTACTGCGATTGTGAATATGGAAGTGCATACAATATAAGTATAATATTAAAATCATTTTCTTTATGTTAATAAACAGAATTAAACCATTTGTACCTGACTGGTCATGTGACTGTGCTTCTGCTTAAAGTCCTCTGTCAGCTGTTGCAGCCGCTTGTTTTCATTGGTCAGGAGTGTATTCTGTTTGGAAGCTGCCTGCCACAGACTGCTGTCTGGAAAGAAAAGCAACAATATATACATTTTAAATGTTAAATAAATACATAACCTAACTTAATGAATTTCTTCCAATCATACTTCATCCTTAGCCTTTCACATTTGCAATATCATCACTTTTTCCTATACCCAAACCTATGTCTCCTTTCATCTCACCAGCTCCAGAGTCCAGCTCTGTCTTCAGTTGGTCCACGGTCCTCTTCAGACACTCATAAATCTCCACCACGTGGCTGGCCTGCTTCTGGCTTTTCTCCACCCTCTCCTGGAGCTCAGCCTCCATCTCCTCACTGCTGCTGCTCGCCAACGTGGCCAGGAAAGAGTTGTTTGGCTCTCCCTGGTTGCCTGAGTGACAACAGCAGGAAAGACAGTGTTGGCTTTAATATCTGGTTTGTTCATCAAAACCAACATATTGCTTTTAAAGTCATGATCTTTTCTTTACCTCTGTCCTTGGCCCGCTCCTGGTTGGAGTCGCCATCAGGTTCTGGAGTATCCGGCTTCAGGCTCCGTCCCTCACCAGTCTGAGATTTCTCAGGCTCGCTGCTCGCTTGGTCATAACGTCTGATGGTCAGTTGAACGTTTTCATCAAACTGAAGGAGAAAAGGGGATCCCATTCAGACTTTTTGATCTTAATTCTGGAGGAGAGTGTTAATCCTGGACATGTATTCTGGGTTTTTCCTCTTTAGTCTCTGAACTTGTTTACCTGGTTCCAGTATCTGTTGAGGATCAGCAGACTGGCATCATCAGTGGCCTGGCGGGTCTCCAGTCTCTCAATTCGCTCTCGCAATTCATCCTCAATGACCTGCAAAGCAACAAGCAAAGGGGTGACCCTCTCTACAAACATGAGAGTACAGCTTCCTCTGTGTGTGTGTGTGTGTGTGTGTGTGTGTGTGTGTGTGTGTGTGTGTGTGTGTGTGTGTGTGTGTGTGTGTGTGCATTTGAAGGTGTACAAAGATATTGGTAATTTACCTGTCTTTGATCAAGAGATTCTCCCAACTTTCGGTTCTTTGTCTGGAGAGCCCTGATGTCTTGTTCTTCCTGGAAATAAATAATTCAAACTTTAGTGTGAAAAGACAAGTAGGTAAACAAATAGAGAGCCACTAGAGATGTGAACACATATATTAGCAGTAGTGGATATTAACAAAAGGGGGCTCACTGAGTTGGACACCCCTCCCAGTTTGATGACCGTCTCCACCGCGGTGCTCCCCCCGGTACTGACACCGGGGGCTCCGTCCTCTCCCTCCCTCTCCCTCCGCTTCTCCGGCGGCGCCCCGGAGGACGAGGGGCCGCAGGGGTCCGAAGGACGCTTCTGCCCCGACATACTCACTCCTGAATCAGACAGATAAAAACATTGATAAAACAAAGTGAAGGACTGTTAGATTCAGAAGGTTATGCTGATGAAAGCTACGTGCACCTGCAGGTAGATGACAATAAAGTGATACAAAAATAACTACTAGGATTTTTACTCTGAAACCATATTCACAAATCGTTTTAAAACCTGACCAGGATGATTTAATCAGTCAGTGTAGCGTCAGGCTAACGTTAGCTGTGTGCTAACTCCAGCTTTAGATGCTGCTGGTGCTCAGAGAAGCTGACCCCAACCATAAGTGCATTAACGTTGTATTACTGACAATATACATAACCAAATCTAAGTCTTACCGCTTGTAATGATACGAGTTTTATGTTATTAACTGATATGGTTGTCTGTGGCTGTTGATGTTGCGGCTCCCTGTCTTTAGTAAACGGAAGTGTGGACGCTGTTGGTGGGGCGAGCTGCACCTGACATGGCGCCCGCTGCCGTCCGGGAGGGGCACTGCTCTCACTTCAGTCACGATACTAGGCACTAAACTTACTGTTCAGCGAGTGGGTGTCGATTTGATGAAACAATAAGAAACAGTAAGAAAACATTTCCACACAGGAATAACTATAATAGTCCAGTGGTGTAATGATGTAACAAAGTACATTTTCTCAACTACAATTTTGAGAGACTTGTACTTTAATTGAGTATTTAAATGTCATGCTACTTAGTACTTCCACCACAATTCAGAGGTACAAAGTGTACTTTTACTCCACTACAATTATTTCATATTAAGTTACTTTGCAGATTTGGAATAATAATATGTTATATAAAATATAATCAACACTGAAAAAGGACTTTAGGACTTGAGTAACATTCATAAGCTAAAATATATATGATTCTGAAATGGGCCGATCTGCATAAGTAGCCTACTTTTATTTTTGGTACTTTAAGTATATTTTGATGCTAATACGTTTCTGCTTTTTGAGTAACATTTTGAATTCAGGACTTTTACTTGAGAGTATTCCTATTCTGAGGTAGTTCTACTTTTTCTTAAGTACAAGATCTGAGTTCCTTGTCTCTGTTATAAACGTATAAGGTATTTATTCAACACAGGGAGGGCCCTCCTTATCTTTGACTGTTTGTGTATTTGAACTACTTAAGGGCAGGAATTCATTGTCTTATACTTACTGTCCCTAAAATCAATAGCCTTGTGAACTGGGTAAAGGGCACTTAAGTTTGCTGTTCCCTTAACTTTTAGATGAGATGCAAAATCCACTGAATCTTTGGGAGCTGCTTTATTTTGACTCATTTCAAGTGTGTTTAAAGGAATTTAAAATAGGCAACTTAAACAACTATTTGAATCATGGTCAAAACAATCTCAAATCAAGGGCCACAATATAACTAAAATATTGCAGGATGATTTTGATCCAAATACACATTCAAATTACCAACACACAATGAAGCTGCGGCTTTTGAGACATATCAAAAACGTCCAAATTCACAGGCTTCACAGAAGAGACACTTTGATTGTAGTGTTTGATTGTAATGCTTATATGTTAAAATGCTTGGGTTTAAACAATGATTTTGCAAGCAAGACAACATCAACATTCCTTTGGTAAATTATTTAAATTAACATTTTCCTCTTTCCTGTCTCTTTTTTTCTCCTTATGTAAAAGGATACTCATGGACAAAGACTGAACTTTGATCAGCACTATTAAGGAGTGCATTGCACAGTGAGGCAAAGTCCAGGTTGTGTAAAGGTAATTAATTACAAATATATATACCCTATTCTATGGGTTCAAATATCTGTTTGTGCTGAGGTCACTAATGGACCAGTGAGAGCATTTCAAACACACCTGTTTTTGGCCATTTTCATAATCGATATGAGGACTGTTTATGCATGACGTGTTGACAAGCAATGTGACGCATGAGGCAGACACACAAGCCAGCATGAAAAAGCAGTTATTTCTGTTCTAACTATTGCCATATTTGTATCCAATAAATGTACACACATAGTCACCTACTACTGTAATTACAGATTAAAGCTGAAAGCAAAAATATTATGACAAAAGTTTCACGTTTGATAATGTTCTAAATGTAGACAGGGCTGATAAAATATCTTTAAAAAAAATCAAAACAGGATAAAAACTAGCAAACTATATACAAAAAAATGGACATGCATGTGCAGGGAGAAACAAAAGATTGAATCTATCTAAAATATATAAAAACAACTGTTAAAGTATCTAAAGACATACAGCATGTGTTCCATTCCAAGGGACTTTGGACTAAAAAACGAGATTAAATGAGAAGCAATTTTACATATTAGATTTTCCTTCTTGAATGTATCAATAATGAACATGACACATCAACATATATAAAATGAAAAACTATGACTGTCCATTGAATTTTCTCAAATCAAATGAGACAAACAGCCATACTTTTGCTATCAACACAGGACAATGGAAACAAAGAAACTTGTATTGCAACATTGCAACGGGCCTCTCAAATTGCATTTCATTCTTTCCTCTGAGTGTAAATCAATCAAAGAAAAACATGGAGGCGGGGCTGTTCCAGGACTGCGTGGCGCGTGCATGCACATTTAGATTTTTTTTTCAGACGAAACACCGTGTTCCCTTCGTGTTTTCAAAAAATCCGCAACAGGTACTGACCATAGACGGTTCTGACACAAGCATAAAGTCCACATAGCAGCGTTGTCGTCGTATCATGTAAACACCGCCCCTGTCTGTCGGACCGGGCCAATTGCACCCCCGGGGTGACACACGCCCCTCTACATCACGGGCCCCTCCTCCCCGGAACAGAAAATGCAATAAATACAGCTTTGTGCACATTTCCGGCATTCTCCATCAGTCAACTTGCTGCAGGGAGGCCGTGCTCACGTTCCACTTCTGTTGCCGTCGCCGTTTGACCAAACTCTAAAGTAAGACATGTTTTGGTTTTTGCATTCTCATTCGGTTTCTGATTCTGAACTGACATATTTCGCCTGGCTTATGCTAGATAAGTCCATGTTTTCACGTGCCCTCGTGTTTTTAAATGTGCAGTTCTTAAAGTAATGTTGAAATTATGGTATAAATTGCACGATTTCAAAAATGTCAACTTTGCACAACCGGAAATATCAGCTGTCAAGTCTGTATGATCGAACAACATTACTCTTTCTTTTTGCACTTTAGATTTGAGGGTATTTTATTTTGAAAGGGTTGCATATTGAATGTCGACGTGTTCTATTTGACGGAGGTCTGCAGGTCACCCTTGAAAAAGAGATCTTTTGATCTCAAGGGGCTTCACCTGGTTAAATAAAGGCTACAAACAAACAAGGTTGGTAGTGCAATGCATCTTTGGTTTGTGTGCAAATGCTTGTTAGAAACATATCCGCGTTCAACCTGAAGTTGCTCATCAGGTGTGCCATATGTGTGCTAATGATGCTCGTGGTATGAATTAGTGTCCTTCATATTAAGCTGTTTTTTGTTAAGTGTGGGTTTTTCTGCAGAACTACACATCTAAAGCTAGAAATTATCTGCCTGAGAGCCAAAGTTCAACCAGTCAAGCCAAATATTTACAGAGGTGATGCAAGAGAGGCAGGAAGTTAGAGGCAACAAAGGTTCATTGTGTGTTGATAGGATAACATATAACGTACTTTTTTCATTGTTAAGCCTTGAAGAGTTTTTTTTATAAACTATGAAATAACTTTTTTCCCTACTCTAGCATGACTCATCAGTTCCCGTCCCTCTCTCCGGAGCAGAAGAAGGAGCTCTCTGACATTGCTCAGAGGATCGTAGCTCCAGGAAAGGGCATCCTGGCTGCAGATGAATCAACAGGTGGGCCTCAAATATATAGTTGATATAAGTGAAGGGGGGTGACTACTAAGTGCAACTGAAATAATTGTCGTTCTTCTTTCAAGGAACCATGGGAAAGCGTCTTGAGAAAATTAAGGTGGAGAACAGCGAGGAGAACCGTCGTTACTTCCGCGACCTTCTCTTCTCCACTGACCCCTCAATCTCCAACTGTGTGGGTGGGATCATCTTCTTCCATGAGACGCTCTACCAGAAATCAGACAGCGGCAAGCTCTTCCCCCAGGTCATCAAAGATAAGGGCATTGTTGTTGGCATCAAGGTGAGGAGCCTAAACGTGGCCATTAAACCGTCCCGAATTACACACATTTTTAGGTCTTCTACATGTTGACCTTTTGTGAGTTAATGTGTTTTCTGATTTTCCTGCTTCAGGTTGACAAAGGCACAGCCGGTCTTAATGGAACAGATGGAGAGACCACCACACAAGGTGAACATTAATTGTATTTCTGTTGTGCAAAATTGCAAGCCTTTTGCTAAATCTGTACATCTCTTTGTGTATTATAGCAAACATATTGAATGAACACAACCCCCATACTATCATTTCTGTGTCTTGTTATTTTTTGATAGGTCTGGACGGCCTCTCTGAGCGCTGTGCCCAGTATAAGAAAGACGGCTGTGACTTTGCCAAGTGGAGGTGTGTGCTGAAGATCTCAGACAGCTGCCCAACCTCTGTGGCCATCGCTGAGAACGCCAACGTCCTTGCCAGATATGCCAGCATCTGCCAACAGGTGTGTGTGTGCCATAGTCTCCATAGAAAAGACTCGCTCATAAATATTATTGGAAAGTTTTACATGTTTCAATTGACATTAATATTTTCTATCAGAATGGCCTGGTGCCTATTGTGGAGCCAGAGATTCTGCCTGACGGAACCCACGACCTGCTGCGCTGCCAGTACGTCACTGAAAAGGTTGGTTGCTGCATTTCATTTAAGACAGTCAGACAAAGGCTGTAGGGAAGGGAAGCTATATCAGAATGGTCGACAAGCCATTCGGAATAAGTTTCCCTTAAGTCCCATATTTTCTGAGCATGGCACCCCACAAAAAACTGACTTATCTTATTCAGATACTAAAATATGTGTGCCCCAACACTGAAAAAGTGAGTTTTTCATGATTAGTTATACATCTGCTTCTGTATGTTTAGGTTCTGGCTGCTGTGTACAAGGCTCTGTCTGATCACCATGTGTATCTGGAGGGCACTCTGCTGAAGCCCAACATGGTCACAGCTGGACAGTCCTGTGCAAAGAAGTTCACCCCTCAGGAGGTTGCCATGGCCACAGTGACCGCTCTGAGGCGCACTGTTCCAGCTTCTGTGCCTGGTAAGTGTCACTAAGCCAGCTTTACCCTTAACAAACCTATTTGAGAAAAATGTGGAAGACACATTTTCTCAGTGGCTTGCCTCTCTATGGGTCTTTCCAGGTATCTGCTTCCTGTCTGGAGGCCAGAGCGAGGAGGAGGCCTCCCTCAACCTGAACGCCATCAACCAGGTGCCCCTCAACCGCCCCTGGAAGCTGAGCTTCTCTTACGGCCGTGCGCTCCAGGCCTCTGCTCTCGCAGCCTGGCAGGGCAAAACTGCCAACAAAGCCGCTGCACAGGAAGCTTTCTGCAGCCGGGCCAAGGTGAGTCTCAGAGGTCATGAAGCTATCACTTCCACTGAATAGACAGTAATAAATGACTTCCTCCTTATCAGGCCGTCATGTCAGGCCGTTGTGTCCTTGGGCAAGACACTTCACCCGAATTTGCTCCTGTGGGTATTGTCCACAGTAGATGACCATTACATGTATGTATGATCTGTATGTGTAATGTGTATTTGTAAAGCGCTTTGAGAGTCATTGATAAAGCGCTATAATAAATATAAGGATTATTATTATTATTATTATTATCAATTTAAAATTGTTGACGGTGAATAAACTGGCTTTAAAATTACTCTCACCTTGTACTACCAAACTTTATACTGACCTGTAAATGATTGATTCTTAAAAGCTTGTCCATTCAGTCTTGCACTAATGTGGGCCAGGCTGATCATTAACACTCAGATTTGACTTTGCCCTCTGTTGTTCTCCTCAGATCAACGGCCTGGCTTCCAAAGGAGAGTACAAGGCCTCCGGCTCAGCTGACCAGGCCTCCATGAAGTCTCTGTTCTCAGCCAGCTACATTTATTAAAAACTGAACGTAATTGCACATGGACCAAATATGACGCAGAGAAATGCCTCTGCTGGACTTCCCTACCAACACCAGGGGAAGACCTCCATTATAATGTTGAAATACCTTTCTACTCAATGAAATGCATGAAAAATAAATGTAAGTGACCAAAATATTGGTGATGTCATCTGTTCTTTGGATTTCAGAGGGTCACATTTTATTAATTGTCAGCAATAACTCAACTGAGAGCCTTTTTGTTTTTCTTAACAATGTTAAACAGAGGGTGAAAAGCTATTGGATCCTAGCATAATTGTGCTGGGTTTCACACACAACTGAATAATATATTGCAATATGACTCAATTGTGGCACATGGCCATACAGCTAATGCAAGTTTACCCCCACCTTACGCTAAACCCATTCCTGAGGTTGATTCCTGTTTTTTATTTTTTAAATGCAGGCCACACGAGTGAGCACCAGAATCAAATCACACTTGATTCTGTGTGGAGTTGTTTGTTAACTTAATGACAATTAAAGAGGATGTCTCTGAAAAAACTAAATGAGGCAGCCACAATATGCAAACACTACATTCATGGGAATATACTGATAGCATTTTAAGAGAATCCTATGTCATCTAAATGTGTTACTCCAATCTCAAAATCAACACAGGATCAGAAGCTAATAAGCACATGTGAAATGTGCTGATGCTGATCAGTTTGGTTACACAAATATAAATGTTAAACTGTAAGTAAAAGTATTCAATTGTACATTTTCTAATATAGGAACATAAGGATTAATATTACTTATTTGATCATCTTTTGTACCTAAACTCTTAATCTTTTAGGCAATGGTGAAAGGATCACATTATAGTTTATTTGTATTCAATATGTTGTAAATTCCTTCAGATTTAGTTCACTTCTAACTTATCTTAAATGTATGTGTACATCAGAATTCAATGCTAGGCTTTTAACTTGTAGCCTACTCAAAACTAAAACAAAGACCCCGATTAATTATTTGCTTGCCATCTAACAATGTGTTCAAAGTGGTACAGACTGTTATCTTTCTATGATAAACAATGATGATGAATCAATAGTGCACTGTCTGTGTGGAATGGTCACTGTTAGTGTATAGATACAAATGTGTGTAATATAATCAGCGACCTGAGAATCATTTCATTTGATTGTTTATTTATCAAAGACAATATACATTACATTTAGTGCACATATAAGCTCAACCTAAATCAAAAATATTTGTTTTTCACACATTCAAAGGCCCAAAGTGGCAACATGTTTCAAAGTCGTATAGATGAAAATGGTGAACTATATTGAAGTCATAAGCTTAAAAAAATAATGCTGGATGTTTGTGTCCGAGGATATAAAAAGCCAAATGTATTAAAACATACTGTAATTCCTCTAAAGTGGCAATCCCAGGTGGATCTGCTGTGCTGCAACTAAATCACAAAGCAGAAATATTTGCAGCTCAGTATATCAAATATATAAAGAGGTTCACAATGATTATCAAAAGCTGCAGTTCAAAACGATGCTCATTTTCTGCACATTAAAAATAATTCAGGTAATGTAGATAATAATCACATATGTTGATGTATTTTGATATAATTCTTTATATTTATATAAATTACAATAACAGTACTGTTACAATACTTTACATATTGGTGTATGTATCAGTGATCAGTATCAGCCCTGTTTGCCTCGAGGCTTTAATTCAAAGTAATGGCCTTAGCTTTAGTTTACTACTGTATGACCCGTACAGTAAATACATATAAGCTTTCCTTCAGATAATAGTGGTAACTTTAATCCCTTAAAGGTGGGGTATGTAATTTTGGAGAAACCAGCTCGAGTGCGCTAGAATTTGAAAGTACACAACCGGAAAAAATCTGCCTCTTCCTTCAGACTTCCTTATGAGCCCCTCCTCCAACACACACGAACGCGCACATGACCAATGAGTATGGATGTGTGTATTATGAGACTGTTCTGAGCCCATAGTTCTGAGCCCATAATAGAGGGCACGAGATAAGTTTGTGCACAGATGGAAGGCTGACAGGCAGGTAGGCCATCCAGTTATTTTAGCCGGGCCGGCTCAGATGATTGGTCGTGCTTTTTACAGCGCTACGGCTTCCTTCCACAGATTGATTTTTTAAATGTATTTATTGTCAAAGCATTTAATGTATTAATTGCTATCGGGATGTTAAGAGCATTCCATGGAATATAACAAAAAGTGTTTCTGAAATAAATTACATAACCCACCTTTAATAAGTGCATGTCAAATATTTTTCTCACATGAGAAGACAGGAATCTTTTAGATTCCAAAACAAGCTTTAACAAAAGCAAATAAATGTGGTTATAATGCAATACACACTCTTGTACTGTGCTAAGAGAAGAAGCTGGGGCTTAAAGATGAGCCTCTGGGTGTAACATTCACATGTGATATACTGTACAGGAGTTAGTGTGCTGCAGGAAAACCAGTGTTATGGATAATACTATAACGATAATACTTCACAAGGATGAGATTAAGTTGCAGTCGTGTCGGTCGGTGGAGCCGGGATGTGCCGGACAATAATCTGTTGAAGATACGGAGGGTGCATGTGTTAGGGAAGGAGGCGGTAACAGTGAATATAACTGATCAGATGTATTGTTTGTATTTGAGGTCCCATTTAGATGGTCTTTAGGACTCATTTATTTGTGTACTGGACATTATATCAATCATGATTCTATTATTTTATTGCATGTCTGTTTAATTGTTTAATACTGAAGTGATATCTGTCTCATGGTGTCGCTTTACTCTTTGTTAATGCTGCATCATTTCAATTAGGCTTTTCTGGTTAAATAGAAAGACATTACATTCTGGACTTTTATTCAGTCAGCAACTCTTTGAGTGACATTAACGTTATATGAATGAATTTGGGAGGGATTACTATCTGGAACTCACTCCCACAACCCATCAGAGACTGCACTGACCATACCTTCAAAAAACGTACACAATCTCACCTCTTCAATCTGGCTTTCTTTTAATGTGTGATGGTTGTTGTATTGCTTGATTTTAATTTGACTTTAACTATATTTATTACATTACATGTTACATTTATTTGTTGTTCTTTTCTTTTCACTATCTCTGTAAAGCGACTTTGAGCACCTGTAAAAGCGCTTACAAAATACATTTATTATTATCATTATTATTATTATTAAGATTAACAACACAAGAGGGCGGGTCATTGCCAACAGGAATATAGGGGAAACAAATAGACATTGCTTCGTTGCCAAAGAGATCGTCCAGAATATCTTTCTCCAGTTCTCTCATTCTTTTTTACCTTTCATGTTTTATTTGAAGTTTTCATTAACATTTTCATGTGCAAATGTAATGCTGTTCAAAAGTTCGTTTTGTGAACCCCTACACACTCAGTGGTAAAGGAATGTTTCAGATGGAGAAACGATGACAAATTCTGTACCTGAGTGCGTGTGGATTTGAGAGCCAAACGTGCGATGACACACAAGAAAATGAGAAGACCCGCCACAAACAGAGAGCAAGTGAACAAAAGGGCTTCAATCGCACACATCTGGTGCTGAAGCAGAAGAAAGAGGAAGTTATTCATACAATGCGGATAAGTGTCCATGTAGTGTCGATCACATGTCTGTAACTCACCAATCTCTGCAGGCTTAAAGACTCCCTCCGATAGAACGTAATGTACGTTAAATAGAAGAAAAGACGTATCCTGTAGCCAAAAGAGACAATGATCCCAAGAAGGGAAACCACATACATAGACAAACACACAGTCACCTGGAAGAGAGAGGTTCAACAACATGGGATGAGTTATTGAGTAAAGAAAGGGAGAGACTGACAGTGACGAAACAAAGTTATAACCACTATAGATCATAAAATCACAATATACCTACCATCTTCTTGGATGGACGTAACTCAGTGTAGATAGACAGGCTTCCACAGACAAGAAACTGAGAACAATCAAATCAAATAATAATTCTTACTTTGACATTCACCCCAAGAAACATTTAGATGACTGTATGACCTTTGTTTATATGTTTATCACCATTGTAGCTGTAGAAAACTTTCCTGAACTGGAGTGACATTTTGGATGTCTTTTTTAATTTCCTTCAGAAATGCAATAAAGACTTAAGTGGAGAAAACAATAATATCCTCTGTCTATTTGCCTGTCCCCCTTAACATCTTTAAAAAAAATGATTTTCAATATGACACAAGTGCTAATAACGGTTGAACTTGAGTAAAACTGGGAAATAGGCGTATTTGATCTTGTTCCTTATTTTGTCGTGAGTTGGATGAGAAGCAGGATATATATAAGTATATTTCCAAAAATTGTGAACTTTTAACTTTAGAAACCAAGGAGACATTTGAAAAAATGTACATGGTAATTGTGAAGACAATGCATGTGTGTGCCACATGTCATGTACCAGAGTTCCCTGCCAGAAGGAAATGTAGATTCCAAAAGAAGCAATCGCATCACTCTCCCCGGACAGCGTAAATCCCATCATCACCTCGGCACAGCCAAAGATCAGAATGGCAATCTGGGGAGGAGGAGAAGGATGGATTCAAGTGCCTACAGTAGAGTAAGAGTTTGCAGCTGCTCATTGTGTAAACATGTAACATTAGTTTCTGTGGCTCTGGATTGTGTGATTTGTTACCCCAACATCTCTGGGCTCTCTTTGGACGAAGCGATGCAGCGGTTTGCTGGACATCAGCACCTCTTGGTCTGCTGCCTTGTTCCCATCCTTTGCTGTTGATCTCTCTCTTGTTGTTGACTCAGTTCCCTCCATTGCAACACTGTTTTAGGTTGTGGGAGGAGAGAGAGAATCAAAACAGATTTTACTCTACAGCTAAGCCGATTAAAAGAAGCAGAAAAATAGAACTTTCAGGCTCATGCTAGAAGCAGGGATATTTTACAAAACATGAAGGGACCCACCTTGTTTAAGCTGTTCTTGCAGAGAAGCAGTGTGGCGTGATAAACGGAGAGAAGGTTGTGTGGTGGATAACGATGGAAATGGGGAAATGTGAAGACCTTTTCCTTGTTTTTTATTAAGGGGAGGAGCTTGCACACGTTATTTGAAATGTACAGAGCTCCTATCAGTCATCCAAGGCAGGGGGGTATCACTTACTGCAATGAAATGTAACGTAAGAAGCTGACATGCACTCGCGGCATAGGCTACAGTACAGCGACACTTATTGAGCAACAACTTCTATTGCATCTCTCCTCTCTCTCTCTCCTCTCGCATCGATAGCGTCTCATCTCAAGCGGGACATGAAGATCGCGGTGACATCTAGTATATCTAGACTCTCTCTCTCTCTCTCTCTACGACACTCTTTGCTCATATTCCTCTCGCTCTCTCTTATCATCTCTATCTCTCTCTCATCATATCTCTCGATCGCTCATCTCTCTCTCTGAGTGAGTGTGTGAGGAACGGTCGGTTTTTCACACGTTTTCTACTAATATATTTATTGTTTTATGTTTGTGTATTGTTTATATGGTTTAAACGTTTGATTGTTGGTGTTTTCTCGTGGTTTGGGTGTGTGTGACGCAGTTGCGGCATGGACTATGCCCGGCTGAGCGGCAAACATGGTTTTAAAATGTCTCCGATGACACCGTGCTCGGTGGAGGAGTGCAGCCTGGCTGTGGGGGCATTAGTGGGGCACGGCAGCATTAGATCTGCGGCTCGGATGAACGGCGGGGTGGTGATATTTGTGGACACGGAAGGGAAAGCGAACAAGGTGGTGGAGACCGGGATCGTTGTGAATGAAACTTTCATATCCGTGTCTCCACTAACCACCCCTGCTACAAGGGTTATGATTTCGAATATCCCGCCGTTCATACGGGATGACTTCCTGGTGAGAGAGCTGTCTAATGGCGCATTTCCACTGCAGCGGGTAGTCCCGTTTAAGCGTCCTTAATCGTCCTCAAGCAGCCAGGCCAGTTTTTGGTGGCCTTTCCATATAGCGTGGCACCGGCTAGCGGGTACATTTTCCCTCTTTTTCCGGCCCCATAAAATCGTGGTTCTATCAGGCCAGGGCCAGGGCTGAACTAGTGACGTCAACACTCTCGACTGCTGATTGGTCAGAGAGAATCGTCACAAGATCGCGCACGAGATCATCCCGAGCGTCGCATATATATCTAGAAGCAAGCTTGCAGCATTTTTATACACAGCATTTTTGTAAACGGAGGAGCTACAAAAATGGCAACGTCAAAGAAAAGCAAACCGTGGTCGACCGAGGAGGTGACGACGTTCCTACATCTCATTGGGGATGATCAAATCCAGCGGGAGCTCGACGGAACAACTCGAAATGTGAACAAAAAAAAAGCCGATCGCCCCGCCTACACGGCGTTGCTACCCCAGGTCCTAAACTGTAATGGAAATGCGCCACTGCCTCGGACGGCCAGCGAAAGCAGCCCGAGGCCTGAGCGAGGACGCGTAGGGACGCTTAAACGGGGCTACCCCGCTGCAGTGGAAATGTGCCATAAGTACGGCAAGATAGTGTCTTCCATCAGGAAGCTGTCCTCGGGCTGCAGATCTCCACTGCTAAAACATGTTGTGTCTCACAGGAGAAGTGTCCTCATGATTTTGAGCAAAAGAGACGAGGAACTTAATTTGGTGCTAAGTCTAAAGTTGGATGATTTTAATTATGTAATGTTTGTATTCGGGGCCTGTCAAGTGCTTCGAATGCGGGGAGGAGGGGCACTTGGGCAGAGCGTGTCCGGAAAAAATAAAAATAAAAAGCAGGGGGAGGAGGAACAAAATAAAAAACAGGAGGAGGAAAAAAATACAAAACAGGAAAAAAATCAAAAAGACACTCCTGCTGCAGGAAACCCCACTGAGGGGCCCCCGAAGCAGGGTGAGAGTCCCTCAAAGCAAGCTGAGAGTCCCCCAAAGCCCCCAACGAAGATTGAGGGTCCCTCAAAGCCTCCAAAGAAGGCTGAGGGTCCCCCAAAGCCTCCAAAGAAGGCTGAGGGTTCAGAGCTCCCTAAGCAGGACAAGGAAAACTCTGGGGAAAAAAAGACTAATGAGAAAAATAATGAAAAAAGTGACCTTTTGGTTGATGTGGGGAAAAAGGTTGTCCCGAATGAAGCAGTGGAGACGGTAGAACTCTCTGCATCCGCTGCAAGTGAAGAGAACATTGAAGCTCAAACTTGTACAAAGAAAAGAAAACAAAAAGAGAAAGTCTCTCAGGCCAAGAGGGTGGCAGTGAGTGAGGAGGGAGAGAGAGAGGAGGAAACGGTGGAGGAGGTGAAGGAGGCAGAGGAGGAGGAAAGTGAGGAAGAATTGATGGAGGAGGATGAGGAGGATGAAGAAGATGAAGAAATTGAGGAAGAGGACTGTGAGGCCAGCCAGCCTCTCACCGTCTCACAACTTAAAAGTCCGTTTTTTAAAGTGCAGCAAATCAAAGCTTTTCTTAAGGAAACAAAAAACAAAAGAGGAGTAAAAATAGAAGAGTTTTTTACTGACAAAAGCTTGTTTTTACAGTCAGTGAAAGCTCAGATGCATCTTTTTACTGAGCAGGAGTCTTATCGCTTGAAGGTCCTGAAAGGGAAGTTACAGCGAGATATTTTAAATGAAGAAGAAAAGGTCATGCACGGCAGTTAGGATGATGGTTTTAACATACTTGTTGTTCTTAAGCGGTGTGTCTCTCCTCACATCCTTTTTAATGAGTGATTTTAAAGTGTGCACTTTAAATGTCAATGGAGCTAGGGATGTGGGGAAGAGGGCTTGTATTTATGAGCTTTTAAAATTAAAAAAAGTAAATGTAGCAATGCTACAAGAAACGCACAGTGACACTTTAAACGGGACGGACTGGAGGAGAGACTGGGATGGGGAGGTGGTTTTAAGTGCTCTTAGCAGCACCAGTGCAGGAGTGGCAGTCCTGTTTGCTAAAGGTTTTATCCCCAAGTCACACACAGTGGAAGAAAGAGTAAAGGGCAGACTGCTGGTGGTGAGAGCCAACTATGAGCTTTTTAATCTGGTTTTTATCAACGTATAAGCTCCTAATTCAGGTCCTGCCAGAGTTCAGTTTTTAAACGAGCTCAGCGCTGTTTTAAGTGAGTGTGAACCAGAAGAGTTTTTATTTTTAGGGGGAGATTTTAACTGCACACAGGATGACGAGCTAGATAGGAACCATAGGGAACCTCATGCTGCATCCAAAAGAGCCATGACACAGTTAATAGCAATACATAGTCTATCAGACATCTGGAGAGAGCATCACACACACCACAGACAGTACACATGGGTCCACACAAGGGAGAACCTTTTATCAATGGCTAGGCTAGACAGGTTTTATTGTTTTAAGCACCATTTGAATGTTTTTAAAAAGTGTGCTATATTGCCTGTTGGGTTCTCTGACCACTCCCTTGTGTTGTGTGATGTTTTTATTGCCAACATAAAAAGCAAATCTGCGTATTGGCATTTTAACACTGCTCTGCTTTTAGACACACATTTTAGAGAGGTTTTTATTTATTTTTGGAATGGTTTTAGAGAAAGGAAGGGGGATTTTAATTCTTTGAAGCAGTGGTGGGATTGTGGGAAAGCCGACATCAAGCAGCTTTGTCTTCAGTACACTCTCAATGTTTCTCGTGATATCACCAAGTCTATGAGAGATCTGGAGATGGAAATAGTGGAACTGCAGAGCTTTGCAGAGTACACAGGAAATCCAGGTTGTATTGAAGACCTCAAATCTAAAAAAAAGCCATTTTGGCAGACCTGCTGGGTTCTAGAGCACAGGGGGCACTGGTCCGGTCCCGATTCCAGAGCGCTTCCATGATGGATTCACCAACAACGTACTTCTTCAGTCTGGAGAAGAAGAACGGGCAGGGCAGGCTGATCCACGCTCTGAGGTCAGCAGGAGGACAGCAGCTGACAGGGAACAGCCAGATCCGGCAGAGAGCGGTGGACTTCTACTGCGACCTCTTCACCACTGAGTACAATGAAGATGATGGAGGGTTTAATCTGTTCTGCAGGGGCCTACCAACAGTCTCTGAAGAGACAAACAAAGAGCTGGATGGGCCCCTGACTGAGGAGGAACTGTGTGAAGCACTCAAGAGCATGCAGGGGGGGAAGGCCCCTGGAATAGATGGCCTCCCCCCAGAGTTCTACAAGACATTTTGGGACTTTTTAAAAGAGGATTTAATGGACCTTTTTAATGAAAGTTTTAATGACTCTTTCCTCCCTCTGAGCTGCAGAAGAGCTGTTTTAACACTCCTTCCGAAAAAAGGCGACTTAGAGGAAATAAAGAACTGGAGGCCCGTCTCTCTGCTGTGCACCGACTACTAGCTGCTGTCCAGGGCCCTGTCCTCCAGGCTGAGGAAGGTGATGGACCAGGTGGTAGACCGGACCCAGACCTACTGTGTGCCCGGCAGGTCAATTGTTGACAATGTGTCACTAATTCGAGATATTTTGGAAGTCTCTGGTTCATTGGGTTTCGACACTGGTCTGGTTTAATTGGACCAGGAAAAGGCTTTCGACCGGGTTGAGCACCGTTACCTGTGGAAGGTGCTGGAGAGGTTCGGCCTCAGCCAAGATAAAGGTGATGTATGTGAACATTGAGAGTGTGCTTAAGATAAATGGCGGTCTGTCTAGACCAGAGGTGCCCAGTACGTCGACCGCGGTCGACCGGTCGACCGCGGGGGCACTGCTGGTAGATCGCGAGTCATTCATAAAAAAAAATATCCAGTTCCGTTAAAATAAACAAAACAGGTTTTGTTCCCTCCTCCCTTGGCCTCCCTGCCACTTAATTCAGGAGTTTACTTGATTGACAGAAAAAGTGACCTATCGCTTTCCAGTCTGTTAACCCAGAATGCAAAGCGATACAAAATCAGTCAAGTGCCGGGTAAAACTCAAATTAAGTTAAAGAGACTAACAAGAGACAAACAACAAAATGAGTGCGGGACCGAGCAAAAAGCTAAAGACATACCACTTCCACCCAGAATGGGAGGAAGAATATTTGTTTGTGATGTCACAT